TCATACATGTTGAGAACACCTAATTTCGAATAAATTTTATTCACGGTATAATAAAGAGATAAAACATTTTACACGCTCAATTACAATTATATTTTCGAAGAGCTCAAGTTATTGTTATAAAAAGTTTTTTTAGTTTAAAATCATGTCAAATACTCCAGATGCCAATAATCATTTTTTTGTCACGACAGTTAGTCGAACTTATTGAAACACATAATTTCTAGATTCTGTGTTAACAATAAGTTGAGTTGTGGAAGACTTGGAAAACTACATTGAACTGCTCAAGAGTCGAAAACAAAATATCTCTAGCGATTCTTTTCGGGGAGAGGAATTTTATGAATATCGCTACGAACATAAATAGCACGCACTGATCAAAGTTTAATCCTGCGTTTAGACTTTAAAATGGATTGATTTTACGTTGACTATTTGCGAGTTGTTTTTAATTTTATATTTAAAAAATGGAACTTTGCGACTCATCAAATTTTTCATTGATAGCAACTTGAATAAAAAATTAATTGCTGCCGATTATCTGACAAAGTTGTCAGATAATGGTGTAAAAAATTATTATTCCATTTTCGGAAATTTCGTGAATACTCCAGCACATTAGTGTGCATTATGTACAAACTGGGGCATTGCGGTGACAAGAGACTGAAAAATATAATCGCTCGTCATCTAGAAATAGGCGAGTGTTTTGATCATGAGATGGATGACGCAGGAGGTCATATAGCTAACTATAAATGACGCACTGTACTAAGAGGTAAACAATAATAATTTCTAAAATAAAATCGAATATATAATAGGATTAAAAATTTACTTTATAATTAAATTATAATATTTAGAACTGAACTGTACTATAAGACGAGCGATAACGCGTCGGAGAGGGCGTTCTCCTGGGCATCCAGTAGGACGATTTAGTTTAAGGTGACATCATCCTCTGAGAGAAGAAGAGGAGAGAGTACCAGCGAGTAAGTTTTGAGGAAATAAATATTAACTAAACGTTTATAGAAATCTTGATTATTAAAATATTTTATTTTTTTCTCTAAGAAGAGCACAAATTGAACCGGAAAATAATGTTCCACCTCCGTGTAACATTCCTGTCATTGTAATTGGTAAGTTATTTTACAAATAATCAAGAAATCTCTTCATATAATATAGATGTTATGCGATAAAGAATAAAATCAATTTTGTTTTAGATGATGATGACGATGATGATGATGATGATGATGGTGACGACAACAATGATTGGAATAGTGATTTGAGTCCATCTGATTCGATTTGAGCACTGGTCTCTCCAGGTTTCACCATTTCCATAACGTGTAAGTTCTTTAAAAAAAATAAATTAGTCGAATATAGAGTTAACTATACAGAGTTCAAAAATAATAATAATAACAAAAATTACTATTTAGCGTAGGAAATCGAACAAGAGCGGGAGGAACTAATGGAACTAATGGAGGAAAATGTGGAGTCAAAATGTGGAAAATCTGAAGAGGAGGAGGAGGAGGAGGAGGAGGAGGAGGAGGAGGAGGAGGAGGAGGAGGAGGAGGAGGAGGAGGAGGAGGAGGAGGAGGAGGAGGAGGAGGAGGAGGAGGAGGAGGAGGAGGAGGAGGAGGAGGAGGAAGAGGAGGAGGAGGAGGAGGAGGAGGAGGAGGAAAACATTGACGATGACAATGTCGATGATAATGATGCCGATGATAATATTGCTGATAATGAGGAGCAAGATAACATAAATGTTGATGACAATAGCGATGATGGAAAGGAAGAGGAAATACGTGACGAGGAAGAAGTAACTCAGGAGACAATAGAGGAAGAAGAAAACAGATATTACGTACCTCTTAAAAATGAAGGTAATAATATTTTTACTTTTTACTTTAAATTTGTTTGTTGCTCGAAATATTTAAGCAGATATTTTTCAAATATTTCGTACTCCTCTGTTCTGCCTATGTCGCTGGGATATTAAAATTTACAAAAAAGAAAAACATTATCATTCTACGCACGATCATGTAAACAGTTGTAAGTGAATTATCTTGCCATGCTGTAATGTTACGACTAATAGTATAAGTTTTTGACTTAATATATATAGCAATGTTATCAGATTAATAAGATTTGTTTAATATTCTTGAAGCTTCGATAGATGCTTTCTATATAAAAATTATGCGTTTCGCGGGATTCTACCGTGTCCAGATCCATTCTTGGAATGTCAACGTTTCGTGAGCCTTACAGTCCACTTCATCAGGACGAGGAGCAACCTGATACTGAGCTGTTCCTCCGTGCCGTTCTTTTTATTGGGAGTATAAATTAGTTCGGTCCGTTTTCCAAAAGATGACTTCGGTTGTTGTGAATGGTTCATAATGACAGCTGATTTTGGCGTTTTCAGAGAGGTTAGACATCTGCTAATAATATTCAGTTTATATCGCTTTGAGTTTCATACAAAAACCTTGATTTTTACTGTGTTTGAAATATCGAATTTTGTGTTAACCAAGCAGCATTTGCGGGAGGTTCTAATTTTCTGTTTTAATTGGAAGAAAAGTGCAGCTGAAGCCCATCGAATGCTTGTCGAAGTTTATGGTGACATTGCTCCAAATGCTGATAAATTATGTAGGGAATGGTTTCGACGTTTCAAGGATGGAGATTTCAGCGTTGAAGACAAGCCTCGCTCTGGACAGCCAAAAAGTTCGAAGACAAAGAATTAGAGGCATTAGTCGAAGAAGATCAGAGTCAAGAGGAGCAGAATCATTGGGAGTAACTCAACAAGCCGTTTCTGCACGATTGAGAGCCATGGGAATAATTCAAAAAACAAAGGAAATTGGGTGCTTTATGAATTGAAACCGAGAGACGTTGAAAGGCGATTTTTCACTTGCGAACAGCTGATTCAAAGATAACAAAAAAAAGGTTTTTTGTATCGGATTGTGACTGAAGATGAGAAATGGATATTCTATGACAATCCCAAGAAGAAAAAATACTACGCTAAGCCCGGTCAATCGTTGCCATCGACCTCAACATCAATACCAAATTCGAACATTCATGGTTCAAATCATGCTCTGTATCTGGTGGGACCAAAAGGGTGTTGTTTACTATGAGCTGCTGAAATCTGGCGATTCCATTACGGGCGATCGGTATCGGCTATAATTGATTCGTTTGAGCAGTGCATTGCGAGAAAAACGGTCGGAATACGAGCAAAGACATGATAAGTTATTTTTCTTCATGACAACGCTTGGCCTCATGTCGCAAAAAAATATTTGGAAACGCTCAAATGGGATGTTTTACCGCACCCGCCGTATCCTCCGGACATTGCTCCTTCTGATTATTGATTGTTCCGAAGGATGCAGCACGTCACCGGTTGACTTCTTTTACAGAAATCAAAAATTGGCTCCAAAATTGGATCGCCTCCAAAGACGAGTCATTTTTTCGAGATGGAATTCAAAAATTGCCTGAGAGATGGAAAAAATTAGTAGCCAATACTTTAATTAATCTGTTCATTCATTTTGTTTTGAAATAAATTTTTGAACACAAAAAACGGACCAAACTAATTTGTACTCCCAATACGCTACTTGTTGGAGTGGTAGGGGGAAAGAAGAGAATTGTGGATGTGGGTGAGGGGGGGAGGAAGTGGGAGAATTTAGTCAGTCTTCAATAACTGGGAAAATGGTTTTCTATATTTTATTTATGTTGTAGCCATTATCTCTATTTAGATTGTTAGAGTGTTTTTGTATCTCTATGGCTTCTCTATACTTTCTTAGAAAGTATGATGTAGTGTTGGCTATTGTGGTCGTTTTATCAAACAATATTTGATGTTCTGTTTCGATGTTCTGATAATGCTGATTGCGTAAGGTGTTTTAGCCTGACATCACGTTGGTGTTTTTTTATCCGTAAGATGACCATTCTCTCGGTTTCTCCAATGTATACTTGCCTGCAGGAATAAGGTGTGTATACTTCTACGGAACTGATTCTACGGATCTGGAGATCTTTAAGATTTCTTAAGATTTGTCTTATCTTTTTGGTTTAAAGATAGTTTGGATATTGTGTTTGTTTAATTCTGCTAAATAATCCGATCTGTTGTTCCTTAGACATATAGGAGAATGGATAGGATCCTTTCTGGTTGTGTCAGAGACCATTGTCTCGTTTACATATTTATTGATTGTTTTGATTATGTTTTTTTTGTCGTGTCCGTTTTTCTGTAAAACTAGTTTTAAATGGTTCTGTCTGTAGCTCTTTGTCAGAAATCGTGAAAGTTCCATATACAAGTGAAATGATTGCAGACTGTTTTTGTGCTGGGTGGTGGTGCGACTCAGCATGTAGGTATCTATCTGTGTGTGTTTTCTATACACTTGATGGCCTAAGGTACCATCAGCTTTCTTAGAGACAAGAACATTTAGGAAGGAGAGTTTTTCGTTTTCTTATATATCTATAGTGGATATTTGAATGTTGATTATTGAGGAAAATAAGGAATTTACGGAGTTCGGCTCTGCCTCCATATCACGAATGTGTCATCTACATAACGGAACCAAACCGGTTTTTTGAGTGTTGGTTTTTTGGTTTTTTGAGTGTTTTCCTGAGAGTCTCTTTCTCAAAATGCTCCATGAAGATGTTGGCGATTACAAGAAAAATAGAAGAGCCCATTGCCGCTCCTGAAGTTTGTTCATAAAATTGATTGTTATAGGAGAAGTAAGTGGTTGTTAAGCAGTGCTCTATTAGCGGGATGAGGTCGGAGGGAAATTCATGTGAGGCCTTTATTATGTTTAATGTGTCTTTTATTGGGATTTATGTAAAAAGGGATTCTACGTTTAAATTTACAAACAGGTCTGTGGAACGTAGTCGAATTTTTTGGATGTTTTATGAAGTCCATTGAATTAGTTATGTGAGATTTGGATTTTCCAGTGAGGAGTTGTAGTATTTGTAATAGAAAGCGGGATAAGTTGTATGTCGGGGAGTGTATGACGCTGACAATCGATCTGAGAAGGACCGGTTTAGTTTGTCTAGTCTTGGTGGGAAAGGATTTGTAGGTTTCAATGTTGATTTAGTTTTATTGAGAATGTTGCTCTTTCCATCAGAATCTTGGTGTTCTGTGCAATTGTATTAGTTGGATCTTTGTCAAGCTTTTTATATGCTTTGTTCAAGAAAAGATTTTTCTTTTTCTTATAGTCTGATGTGTTTATGGCTACTGTCGTGTTGCCTTTATCGACTGGAAGCACGATGATGTCTGTGTCTCTGTTCAAGTCTTGGAGGGCCCATCGCTCTTGTCTAATAATGTTTGGTGGAGGGAATTTGGCTTTGGAAAGAATATTGATTATCTATCTGCGGATATTATCTGCTTGTTCTGATGGGAGTCGGTAGATGGTTGACTGTAGATGGTTGGCTGATCTCTTTCTTTGGAATCTTTTTAGGTGCCACTGTGAAGTTAGGGCTTTTGGTAAGCGCAGATATAATATCTTGAGACAAGTCTTTGTTGGATGGGGTCTTGATGTTAAGTAGAGAAGGTTGTAGATTTTTGTGAGAAACAAGATTTATATTTTTCTGTTTCTGTCTTTCAGAGGATTGTGAGGTCTTCATGGCTTATTTGTATGTAATACGATCTAGGATTTGTCACAACGTGGTGGATACGAACAGATGGAGTTTAAAGATTTTATGGGAAATCTGTACTATTTGTAATTTAGTGAAGTGGGTGCGTTCTTTGATGAGGATGATGCTGTCTTATGAAAGATGTTTTTGCATTTGTGAGTTCCTAGATGGTCCTTGAGTTGTAGGAACTTTGGGATGATGTTATTATCCCTGCAGCATTCGATGTTGTGTTTTGATAATGCTGATTGCGTGACGTGTTTTAGCCTGACATCACATTGGTGTTCTTTTATCCGCAGGTTGATCATTCTCCCGGTTTCTCCAATGTATACTTGCCCGCAGGACAATAGACAGTTTGTTTTCCCCATTCGCTCGTAGTGGCATGCGTATATCAAGAGCGTAGGCAACTGCATACGGGGGAACTGCAAGAGAGATAGGAATCGTGAGATACCAGCGTTCTTCTTACAACGTAAGCTGATCGAAGAATTAACGAAATCCGCTGGTATCACAATTACCGCGAAAGGTTGTGGAATTCGTGGAATCAAGCAATTCCATTTCGGATTCTCGCTTCCGAAAATATTGCAATTATGATATATAATTTCAGTACTTTCGGTCGAGATGAGAATCCGATGTATGACGGCTGCGCGTTACTTTCCTCCCTAGATCACGAACCCTCGTGTAGTTTAAATATAATATATTATGAGGGTTCGTGACATTATAATCCTACATTAAATTTAAAAGTCGCCGCCGGTTCTCGTAGAAGATATTGCGTAGCGTGGGCTTTCGTAACAACAGAAGTCATCGATGTACAAAAAAATGTCCATGCTGCTACGCCACCCCATCTTGCGAATGCCCCGACATTGAGTTGATTAAGTTTCGTGCATTCGCGTCTTTTTCGGGCGTCCGTGTTTCGAACGCAGGGATCATATAATCAATCCCTCGCAAGCGTTTGCGAATTTATTAAAATTTGCATCGATTACGGGCAATTGGTTAATTCAAAATCGTAACACTATTGCGACGCAGTTTATTGCAAAACTTGTCATTCGTTCAGTCTTCGAATCATTTGTGTTACATGCGGCCTCTTTGTCGTAAAGCTTCAGTAGAAAATCCTGGAGAGGGTACAAGTATTATAGCAAGATTCTCGAGAAGAAAATCCGCAAACAAATATGAATGACATCGAAGATACAATTGAATATATTAAAAGAGATTGCATTGATGTTTTATGATTTCGAAATGCGACAAGATGAGACACTCGAAAGAATGGAGAACGTAAGAATTCAAACTTTCTGTGTTGCGCAACAAATTTGCGAAGCGTAAGCGGGAATAGAGACATGTCATTGCGATGTCGTTGGTGTAGAGTGCGCGAATTCATATTTAGTAGAAATCCTGTAAAAGAGTTTGTCGATTTCGCAACGCAAACATCTTAATATTTAAAAAAAATTATCTGTATCGCGCATAAATGTTAAAGCATTTGACGCTTAGTTTATTTTAAAGTACCCCGTTGAAAAATCAGAAATAATGGAAGAATCTCGGGTGATTTTGAACGGGACGAAAATTATCGTTATGATGATTGGTCGTACAAAATTTAGTGATAATTCGAATTATATACCTGTGCATTTATTCGATTTACCCAAGGTTTTCAGGCTACGGAATACTTTGGGTAAAGGTTTTTTTCCTCATTTAATACGCTACAAAATCAAAATTATATTGGACCAATATCTGAGGCTCGGTATTCGCCCGAACAAATGAAATCCGAGGAACAGCGTTTTATGGTTTGGAGGAAATGTCGCAATCGAATTTCGTTTTTTATTTCAAACAAGAAATAGTAAAATAATGTCGGAATGACGTAGATATCCTTAGACGTGCATGCATGGCGTTCAGAAAAATCTTTTTAGAACGCGGAGATGTGTGTCCGTTCGTAGAATGCACGATTATCGCTTCCACGTGTATGAAAATTTTTCGCAAAAACTCTTTACGCGAGGAAGAAATAGGAATCATTCCACCGGGCGGATATAGATATAAAGACAATCACTCGCACAAAGCACAGTGATTAGTACGAATGGAGCGTGAGCTCCATTGGACATCCTATAATCCATGCAGGGCGAAGCCGCGAGTATCGAATTATTGGTACGCCCGTCGACGGATATTACGAAGTCAAATCAGAGAACGAGACATTACGTTACAATTTCATGGTTATTTTTGGCACGATTGTTGCAACTCAATTTATCAAATCAATCGTGAAAGGAAACTTACGTCCAGGACGTCATATAAAGATACATTCGACGCTCGATATGAACGAACTCTCACAATGGTTTTTTACATGGCATTTTCAACAACGTGAATATAGGATGAACAAATGGGAGTGTGAATTTGCACGAGAAAAGCGCGAGAATTGCGAGATGCACAATTTTCTCAAAAACCATTCGATGCTCCTCTCGACCTTCGTCAGGTTCTTTAGTGGCCGTACGGAAAATATTTCTGTAACCCAATACGAAGTTACGGAGAAAATACGTTATGTGGACGTGTGTTCTCTGTATCCGTACGTGAAAACGGGTACTTTTTCGTTACGCCAACCTATGATTTATATCGGAGAACAATGTTCGAAGTTAATTAGCGTAACTCCGAAATTTAATTTTGATTCTGTTGAGAGTATCATTCGGTGCACAGTACTTCCACTACGTGATCTTTTTCACCCTGTACTCCCATACTGCGTACAAGGTAAATTGTTGTTCGGGGGCCGGGTGCCCTCGCGCTCTCCCCGCCGATCGTGAATTCGTAGGTGCATGGGTATCCTGCGAATTGCGCAAAGCTCTCAAGAAAGATTATCTCGTGATGAATGTGAACGAAATATGGCAATTTAGAGTCATACGGTTCGATCCTTGTATGAGGCAAGGTGGTTTATTTACTGAATATATCAATAGTTTTTTTAAATTAAAACAGGACAGCCGAGCGAATGTCTGGATGACGAGAATAAGGAACAGTATCTTCGGGAATACGAAGAAACTGAGAGTATTGTTCTCGATAGAAATAATATCGTCCGAAATCCTAGTTTACGTTCGGTCGCGAAGCTCTGCTTAAATTCTTTCTGGAGTAAATTCTACCAACGAACCAATTTGCCTAATATAAAAATCATACAAAAATACGAACAACGTTGTTCACGAATTCTATATTGGTTATTTCGTGCTTCATGAAATAACCAATATATTATCTATCATCGACGACATAATATATGTTTCATGGCGACTACGTGAAAAGACGGTCGCGCCTTTTCCGCAAACCAACCCTGTAATCGCGGCATGAACGACGTCACAAGCGTGACTGATATTATACGAATATCTAGAGAAATTATGTAATCGCGTTTTATATTGTGATACAGACTTGTGTATTTACGTAAACAGAGGCGAATCGTACGAGCTGCGTACGGGGAATTTTCTGGGCGATATGATGGATGAACTCGAGAGCTACGGGGCAGTTTTATCGAGTTATTCGTGTCCAGGGGCCCGAAATTCTACGCGTTCGTATACCGGAAGGTCGCCGACACGAGATTTGTAAAGTTAAAGGAATAACATTAAATTATAAGAACTCTCGAATTATAAATTTTAATAGTATTAGGAAATTAATAATGGATAATGAGAGAGGCGATGAAGAAAAAGAAGAAGAAACGGGAGGGGCAGTGATAAATTTGTGTTTTAGCGCAATTCGATGCACCGCATTTTACGAAATCGTAACACGAAACGAAACAAAGACGTGCGCCGGTATTAGTAAAACGTAAATTTATTAATCGCTATTCCCTTCCGTATGGTTCCGGTTTCAGGAAAGAATAATGACTTCTTTTTCTTTCTCTCACTTATATTTTAAGTTCGCGAGTTTTCCGCCTATTTGCATAGTATTTAAGTATTTAATGTAAATATTTAATTATAATATAAAAATGTAAATATTGTTTCTGAATAATTGAATTTTTTGTATAAGAGAGTTAGCAAAAATATAATCAACTATAAAAAAATTAAAATTACAATATATATGTTTCCTTTTCTCTCTTCCTTTTTTTTAAAAAAAAATATCGAATAAAAAATATTTTCTATTTAAAGAAAACAAGAAGAGATGATTTATTATATAATTTTAACTAACCTTTCCTGTTTCTACGAAAGCTTTTCCCTCGCTGCAGCATCGCAATATAGCATCAGTAAGCTTATGCGGCGATGCCACGCGCTTAACGATAGAAATATACGCTAATCATAAGCCTCTTTGACGCGCGAAAATAAACTTATGCGCGTCGCACCGCAACGAAATCAGCTTTTCGCTAGCCGCAGTGTTCTTCGCTGACAAGCTCACACGGGGGTACGCGAGCGCTTGTCCGCCGTGGAGGGAGCCCTGGCGTCGCATTGATCAGCTTATCTGCCCTCCTAAAATTATTTTCTTTCGCATATTCTAGAAATCAAGTGACATTTTTTTCTTTTTGCTTTTGAAGTCGCACACGAAGATCGATCGTTCATTTCGTTCAAATGGACGTGCGTTGAAAACATCCTTGGACGTCGATCGTATGCGGGTCGACCGGTTGCGAGAAGACGATCTTTGTGGAGGCTTTTCTTCGGCATTTATCTTTCATAATCGACATGTTTCGAGAGAATTTTGTTTTATTACGCGAAATGGCAAGAAGTCTATTATCAATTACAATACGACACATACGAGTAAAAGAATTCAAAGAACAGCGTTGGGGATGTAGCAATACTAAAACGACGAAGAAGAATGTAATTGAATTTCGCGAGGGATTACTTCGTCCGGAAGATTATTCGAACGATCCATTTTCTCCTAAATTAGTGATAATCGACAATCTTATGAAAGAATCGTTATCGTGCGATGCGATCGTGGATTTTTTTATCAAAGGCAGTCATCACAAAAATCTCAGTATTATTCTTATCTCGCAGAATCTATTCCATCAGGGGCGTGGCCAGCGTGATATATCATTTAACGTGAATTACATTGTCGTTTTCAAA